ACGACTCGGGTCAGAAAAAACCGGGCGTGCGCCGCGGAACATGTGAAAGCAAGAGCACAGGACAAACATAGGAATGAGAGTAGGCACCAGCCAAGTGTGACGACACTCGCCTTAGTAGGAACCCGCCTCTACCATCACCACCCCCGCGATTATAAGTAAGAGCGTTGATCTTCATGGTGAATGCCGTCGTGGCTCAGCAGTGAAAGTGAATCAGGCAATGCAATTCTTGGGCTGCGACCCTTGTACAATATGTCCATCCCACCCCTTCTCGAAGCGCAACCCAGCCTCCCCAACTTCATTTGTTTGCATCGGCATATGAGCTGCAGAGGTAGGGTGCAATGTTTGGGCTGCTTCTCTGCTATTAAAATAAAAATGCGCAACTGTTTTGTAGCAGGCCAATAAAACAGAAACCAGGAGAGCATCGACATGTATTGCTGCCAACCACATGTGCAATTCTTGGGCTGCTAGCCTGATTGCAGTTCTGGGGCTGCTCACCTTGGTAGGGGGAACGAAGGGACTGCAACAGAGGAGGAAGTAAGGGGTGAGTGCACTTCTTGGGCTGCTACCCTGAATGTGCTAGGGGCGCAGCTAAGGCTGCCGGCGGGCTGACCACCTGCGTAGGCTGGCCTGTCTGGGTACAGGCGTGCATGCAGGGTATCGTATCAGGTACCCTGAATCGAGAATTTTTGCTGTATGCAGGCAAGGCTGGTCAGCGAATGCTGCCGGTACATGGTCCTCCTCCGCCACCACCCCTCAGACTCATCCCCCCCTCCAAGGTGTGTTGTAGCAGCAGCTGGCACGTGGGCAGGCTGCCCACTTGTCCACGACCGTTGTACAAAAAAAGGTGGAATAGACGGTATGCAATTCTTGGGCTGCTACCCTCGGCGAGTACCAAATGAGTGGTCCACCTCCTCCTCCTCCTCCTCCTCGCACGTACCCCAGGCGAACACAGTTCCTCAACGTCATGCCTCCCTACCTCATGAGAGAAAAGCGGGCGGCGGGGATGAGTGCCTGGGCGGAGCGCTCGGGCAGGAGCTGTCCGAGCCGCCCCTGAAGTACTCGGCGCGATCCTTGTACATTCGTGTCTCCTCCTTACTCCTCCTCCTCCTCCTCCTCCTCCTCCTCCTCCTCCTCCTCCTCCTCCTCCTCCTCCTCCTCCTCCTCCTACTCCTCCCGGCCCCTCGTGGGGCGGTGCGTGTGGACCTGGTCTCGGGCCGCGGGGGGGCCCAGGCGTGCCCAGGCCCACCGCCTCCAGGGGCCCAGGCTCAGGTCGGACATTGTCCTCCCACCGGCGGATTTTGGAGACAAGAAGGAAAAAGTGGCGGAGCAATGCAGGAATATAGTCGACACCAATCGTCCCCAGTCTATATCTTTGACAATCTGTTTGAAGACTCCCCCTGCAGAGGCACATGCCCGACGCAGGTCCAGGCAGCTCGATTCCCCCAGGCGGCGGCTAGGGACAGCGGACAGCCCCCCCAACAGGGGAGCGGCGGGGCGACGGGGGCGCGGGGGGTGGGGGCGGGGAAAGCGGTCCTGCGCGTAGATCCTGTTCCGCTTGTCCTCCATCAGCTTGTTGACCTCGTCGAGCTGGTGCTGCCGCTCGTCTCGCATCTCGATGATCTGGGGCGAGGGTACAGAAAACGCGCGCCGCTCTGGCAGACGGGCGGGGTGGGGTGGGGTGGGGGCGGCAAGGGCGGGGTCTCCTAACGACTTTCCCCGGAGGGCAAGAAGAATCGGCATAGAATTGGGGAACCATATTGGTAGGTCGAGAAAGGATGTCATGGTGGGCTAAGGGTACGTTCCAGGGTTTCCAGAGTATCTAGCGGCTCTCGTTTTTGCAGCTGGTGTGGAGCATTAGGAAACAAAGTAACTCCTATAAGCCCCGGGAATCTTGAGACGTATCATTATGATGACCTCTGACTCCTCTCGATTGGATCGGGATGGGCATCGGATTGGGCCACATCGGCATGGAGTCGGCATCGAGCCCGATCGGCCACGTCAAGGTGCACAGGAACGCCAAGCAAACATCGGGACGCAACGAATTGTCGGAACATCGGAATCGAATCGGACCGGACCAGTCAAACCAGATGCTGAACCATTCTGCTCGGATCGACATAAGCTTTCTGGGGTGAGGCGGACGATACCCCCTAAATGAAAGCACGAGGAGCCTACATCCACGACGTCGTGTTTACTCGCAGCGTGACCCGCTGGAGGTACCGAAACCTCCTCCACGGTTCGTCGGGCCGAACCGCTTTCGACGATGCACGGGGCCCTGAGAGGCGCCGCCAGACGCAGAAACTGGCCCACAAGACTTCAGTCGTGTGTCTTCTAGCGGCGCGAGGACGTCTCCTCCTCCTCCTCCTCCTCCTCCTCCTCCTCCTCCTCCTCCAAGGGAAGTAAATCACAACGGTAATCTGATTATCACCAGTGCGGATGACACAGACCAACAATGGAACCTGTCAGGCTTACCAATCAGTGCCGAAGCTTCCACGCACCTGCAGTCGGGCTGGGCTACGGCAGCTCGAGCTCATGCAAAATCCCCGCCAGTGCGCCTGCGCCCTGCAGATGTGACATCGAGGTGCTTCCTGTGGCTCCTGTTTTCCGATGCTGAAATTCGCTTGCGCTGCAGCTCGTCGAGCGCGACAAGTTGGCCCCGATCATGAGCATCCTGATCACAAGAAACCTTCCACAAGAGACCCAACCCCGAGACCCCAGGACGTCCATCGGAACCCAAGAAACCCTGGGCACCCTGGAGGCAAGCAATGGTTTTCTTGGCATGGGCCCCCACTTTAAATCATGAGAATGGTGACGCCGCTCACGGCTCGGACAGCTGTGGTGACTTTTGCCTCCCTTATGTCTCAATATTTCCCCGAGAGGGCCCAAGAGGGACCCTCGTCAGGTTCATGTCGTGCCGACTTCGGCGTTCGTTTCTGACACGGCGGGTCTCGTACGATCTCTCGCGTCCGAAACGTCAAAATCGTTCCATATCGAACGTTCTGGGTCGCCCGCGGCGTTCAAAATTGAACGCCGCTGGCGGAGTCGCCGCCGGTCGACACGACGCGAACCTACCGTACAAGGACCCCGAGACGGCCTCTCCAGTCCCCAATCGCACCCCGAGGAGAACCTCGAGAGGACCCCGATCGGGTATTCCAGCCTCCTCCCGGGAAGGAGGAGGAGGGGGAGGAAGGGGGAGGAGCAGGAGGAGGGGGAGCAGGAGGAGTAGGAGGAGGAGGAGCAGGAGGAGTAGGGCGAGGAGGAGAAGGAGGAGAAAGGAGGAGGAGGAAGAGGAGGAGGAGGAGAACGGAGAAGGAAGTGGAGGAGGAGGGGGGCGCGATTTGGCGGGGCTTTGTTTTTGGCCGCTACCTCCAAGCGTGCCCCGGCGCAGGAGCACCGCGGAGATCCCGGCTCCTCCTCCTCCTCCTACCTCCTCCTCCTCCTCCTCCACCATCCTCCTCCACCTTACTCCCCCTCCCCCTCCCCCTCCTACTCGATTTGACAGTCCCACAGGCCCTAAGCGTAAATGCTCGGGGACGCGGACGCAAGCGTCGTTTGCGTGAGCGTGCCTGAGCAGGACTCCGCGCGCAGTCTACGATCCAGTGCCATGCGAACGCGCTGGAACTGCCGCTCCAGCTGCGATACCAGGGATCCTGGCCCTGGGGGAGGGGCGGAGGCAGCGCGATCTGCCAGGGAACGTGGCCCTCGCCCCCTCCGTGGGGAGCAGCTGCCCTGAAGCCCCCGCTCCCCGCCGAAGGTGGGCGGCGAGGGGGGCGGCCGGGGAGTCGAGGATTCTTAATTGCACTACTCCGAGGGGGCGTCACCCCCGCCGACAGGTGGGCGCAGGGGGACGGCGCGAGGGCGGCCGGAGAGTCGAGGATTATCAATTGCACTACTCCGAGCTTCTCAGTAAGCGTCCGAGGGGGCGTCACCCCCGCCGACAGCCCCACGCCGACCCCCGTCGCGGGCAGCCACCGCGCGCCGCAGGCGCTCGGACCCCCCGTCGCGGCGCGACGACGGGGCGAGGTGGACCCCCTGTCGGGGGGGGGGGGGGGGCCCGACGCTCACCAAGAAACCCACGAGTAGGGGGGCTCCACGACGGCCCCAGGCGGCGGCCCACGAGCCTCCACCACGAGCCTCCACGATCGCACAAGATGCCCCACCTTGATCTTCGAGATGGCCCCCAGTGTGCCCCCAAGAGGCCCCAGGACCCTCACGAGGCACTGGATGAGGAACCCTTCGAGCAGGAGTCCAGGGCCCGGATGCAGGTGGAACTCCAGTCGAGGCTCGGCCACGGATGCCACCACCGCTCTCGTCAGACGGCCCGAGGCCGGCCACAGCCGGTCGACAGGGCCTGCCGGTTTGGGAAAATGTGTGCTTGCCTTCCAGGCTGTAGTTCGCCTCCAATCTGCTCTAGGAGCCAGCAGGAATGCCCCGAGCCCCGAGATGGCCCAAAAGGAGGAGAAGGAGGAGGAGGAGGAGAAGGAGGAGGAGGAGGGCCCCGGAATGGCCCCTAGTGCACTTCCCCAGGCGCCTCCCACGGGCACCCCACGAGGACCCGCAGGGACACTGCTTCCAGTCCCGCTTCGCCTTTTCGGCCGATGGCTTCCTGGAGATCCGACGCTGCCAACAAATGGCAGCATCGTAGAAAATCACGGCCCAAACCCCCGACCCCATCTTTCTGCGTCATTGTTCGAGCCGGATCGATCTGCGAGGGTCCCGGGGCCCGAAATTGCACGAAGACGCCCGTTGCAAAAACAAACGCAACGCCAAGATCTCAGGGTTCCAGGATGGCCCCCAAGGGCGTACAACAGGTCACTCCACACGCTAGATAAAGGGGAAAGCCCCGGAGGCGTTGAAACGGACCCGGGGGAGCTACAACACGGCCACAGCAGTCAAGTTAATCCCACCAGCTCTCTGGGCGCAAGTGGTTTAGCGAAGTCTTTCTTTCATTTTCCAGATTCCCTCTTCCTTATCGGGGAGGTGTTTACCCTTTCCCTAACACCCTCCCTCTGGGTATGGATGGGGCGCCCCACGAGGCGCTGTAGCGTTCGAGCGGCCTGAGATGGCTCCAAGAAGGTCCCAGAGAGCGTGAACTGGCCTCCAATATGGCTTACTATAATGCAGCGTCGCTCAAGATGGCTTCCAACCTGCCACAAGATGCCCAAGACCGCTGCAAGACGGATCCAAGTGGCCCGAAAACCTGCCTGGGACGCCCCTAAGAGAGGGAAATCAATGATTCTGTGATGCCTTCTCGCACCTTCGCTTCCGATGGCCTTCCAGGGCCTCCAGATGGCTCCAGTGTTATGGCCCGAGGGACGCGTTGGGCAAGGCCAAGGTCGTGCTGAGCGGACCTGACTACTCGCTGATACAATGGAGGCCAGTCCACAAGAAGCCTTCTACAGGAAGCCCAACCCCGAGACCCCAGGACGTCCATTGCTTCTTGGTGTGGGTAGCGTCACGCTTCTCAGAGCAAAATCCTCGGAACCCAACATACCCAGGGCAACCTGGAGGCAAGCAGGGTGCTGAGCGGACCTGACTACTCGCTGATACAATGGAGGCCAATCCACAAGAAACCTTCCACGGGAAGCCCAACCCTGAGACCCCAGGACGTCCATTGCTTCTTGGCGTGGGAGCGTCACGCTTCCCAGAGCAAAATCCTCGGAGCCTAACAAACCCATTACCAGCCTCGAACGTATCCCTATCCCTAGGATTGACACGCCAAAAGGCGACGACAATCTTAGGGATTCTCACTCAAACAATGAGGGAATCCCTAAGATTGGCACGCCAAAAGGCGACGACAATCTTAGGGATTCGCCCTCAAACAAAGAGGGAATCCCTAAGATTGGCATCGTGATGAGGAGGTGCCCAGCATAGGGATAGGGATATGTTCCAGGCTGGTAAACCCAGGGCAACCTGGAGGCAGGCAGGGTGCTCCTTGGCATGGGCCTCCCCTCGACCCGCTGCTGCAGACGCAGGCCACCCTTCCAGCGGCCTCGAGGCCGAGGCCCGCGGTGCTGGGCGGCGGAGGGGCGGGCGCGCCCGCAGGCGCGCGCGCGATTGCAGGATGGCCCACGAGGGCCCCAGGAGGGCTTCAAAACGGCGGCCGGGGGAGGAGGAGGGTGGAGGGGAGGAGGGAGAAGAGAGGAGGGAGGAGGGAGGAGATAGGAGGGAGGAGAGGAGAGAGGGAGGAGGATGAAGGAGAAGTGAGGAAGGAGGCAGAGGAGGAGAGAAGTAGAGCGAAGGAGGAGAAGAAAGAGAGGAGAAGGAAGGAGGTGATGAGAGGCAGGAGGAGAGAGAGGGGAGGAGAGAGGATGAGGGAGAGGGAGAAAGGGAGGGAGGGGATGAATTGATTAGGAAGTATAATGCGGATAGGAGGATGGGAGGAGGAGCGGTAGAGGAATGAGAGGAGCAGAGTAGAGGAGGGAGGAAGAGGATAAGAGAGAATAGGAGAGGAGAGAGGAGGAGGAGGAGCATGAGGAGATGATGAGAAAGAGGAAGTAGGATAAGAGGTAAGTAGGAATAGTAGGAAGGAGGAGGAGTATGAGGAGATGAGTAAAGAGAGAGGAGGTAGGGAGGGAGGAGGAGGAGGAGGAAGAAGAATGGAGAAAGAGGGAGGGAAGGAGAGGATGAGATGAAGGTGATGAGGACGATGAGTTGTTGTAGGAGAGGAGGGAGGAAAGGGAGAAAATGTGAAGAGAAGAGGAAAGGAGGAGGAGGGAGGAGAGAGGAGGAGGAGGAGGAGGATGGAGGGAATCTTATGATCGGAGGGAGGAAAGTGGTATATTCTTGAGGGAGGCGGAGGGATGTGGGAGGAAGTGAGGAGGAGAATGATAGAGAGGAGAGAGGAGAGAGAGAGGGTAAGGAGAAAGGAGAATTAAGAAGGAGCCGAGGTAGGGAGTAGGGAGGAAGGGCGAAGGAGTATGGGAGAAGGAGGAGTGCTTCAGGAGAGATTTGCGGATAGGATGAGAGAGAGTGAGGATGGTAGGCAAAGAAGAGAAAGAAGGAGAAAAAGAAGAGAAAAGGGTAGCAGGAGGGGAGTCTCCTGCTTGATCTCGTCTTTGATCAGCCTCCTCTTCTGGGCTCTCTGGCTCTCGCTGTCGTCCCGGCTGCTCGCCCACTGGCACAGCGACCAGGGCCAGGCGTCCCCGGCCACAGCGGGCGCGACCAGGTCGGTGCCGTCGGTATCCTCGGGGGCGCCGCCCGCCGCCCGCTGCCGCCGCCCACCGCCGCCGCCGCCGTCCAGCGTGGCCTTCGTCCTCGTTCCCCGCTCCTGGTTGCTCCTCCTCCTCCTCCTCCTCCTCCTCCTCCTACTCCTCCTCCTCCCCTTTCCTTCCCCCTCCTCCATCCCCTCCCTCGGGGGGAAGGGGGCGGCGGGGGGGGCGGAGGGTCAGGAGTGGGAGGAGGAGGGAGGGCAAGTGGGAGGGAGGAGGGAGGGGAGGAGAGGGAGGAGTCCCTCCTCTCTCCTCGTCGCGTTCCTCTTCCCCCTTCCTGCCCCGCATCGAGCCCCTCTTGTTCCTGCTGGCGCCCCTGCGTCTCGCTCGTCCTCGCTCTCCTCCCCAGGCCCCGCTGCTCCTCCCCCTCCTGCTGCTGCTCGTCCTGCGGCTCTGCCACTTCATCTTCCTGCGCCTCCTCGTAGTGGTCCTCCTCCTCCTCCTCCTCCTCCGCCCCCTCCTCCTAACCCTCGTCGTCTTCATCCTCCTCCTCCTGATCGTCCTCCTCCGCCTCCTCCTCGATGCCGTCAAGTTGTGGACTGTCTTGTCGAACGACTGAAGCCCTCATGCCTTTTCTCCCACCGGCGATGGCAGGAGTGGACAGAAGCCGACAACTTCGACACAAAAGGAAGACGAAGGAACAACCGAACGGCGATAGCGACGGATGCCGAACATGTACCTGGTACCATGGATCTGGGATGGACAGAAACCCCTGTAGTAAGGCGTGGTCTGGTAACAACGACCTCGGGCCCAAATCTGGCGGGCGCAAGCCTGGAAAATGACGACCGCGGCGCCCTCTCGAGAACCAAAAACGGACTAGACAATTCACGAATCGACGTGTCAGGGTGGGGGTTCTGTCCACCCCCGACGCCAACTTCGGGGGGGGAAAGGGGAGGGGGAGGAGGAGGAGGAGGAGGAGGAGGGGGAGGAGCAGGAGGAGCAGGAGCAGATGAGCAGCTGGACATGAGAGGAGGCGAGGAGGGATAGGAGGAGGGAGGAGGGGGGGGAGAAAGGGGAGACCTGGGGGCGCGGGGCGCAGCGCGCGTAGCGGCTGGGCCCGAGCTCATCCCAGCCCACCTGCGTGCATGCTGGCCCCTGGAGCTTCTCTTCGGGCGCGCAGGCATTGGATTAGCGATCATGGAAAGGGCTCGCGTCGCCAGACCATGTTCCAGGTGAGCTCCTCCCCAACATTAAGAATGCGGGCCCGCCCGCTACCAGCTCCAGGTCCGCATTCCCCGCGGAGAGCGGAATGTCGCTAGTCCGCGCCCCCCCCTGGCCCATGTCTGCGATCGCCCGAGGAGCGGGGCCCTCGAAGTCAAGGAGGGAGGGGGGTCCTAGGTGCAGGGCGGCGCGGCAGCGGGCGGCAAGAGCTGGCAGTGCGGGTGGGGGGCGTGTGCGAAGGCATTGTGAAGCGAGTGGCGATCTGTGCACGAGGCGCCCCGGCGAGGGGCAGCGGCGGGAGGCGAGGGAGCGATATCGCGACAAGCGTGTGGAGGGTGTGGCCCGAGCGCGGGGCCCCCACCCCCCGAGGAGGAGGGAGGAGGAGGAGGAGGAGGAGGAGGAGGAGGAGGAGGAGGAGGAGGAGGAGACAAGGACATGGATATCCGCATGAGGGGGTAACGTCAGAGCACGTACCCGGGAGATCTACGCGCTATTGCCAACAACTCCTGCGTTTGGTTGTGCTACAGCCCTGCTTTGTCACTAGGGCTGGCAGGGGGCATACCCCGAAGCTCAAGGACCGAGCACCGAGGTGGCCCCGTAAGAGAGGCTCGCAACCTTACATCGCGAGTCCAATCGATTCAGTGCGGGGGGAGCAGCTGCTGGTCCTTGGGGAGGGGGACGCGCGGGCTTAGCAGGGCGCCCAAGCCAAGGGGGGGAGGAGACGACGACACGACCTCAAAAGGAGGGGAAAGGGGAGAGACGGAAGGCCCGAGACCCCAAACTGTTTCTGGGGGGCCCCTGAGACTTCTCTATGTTGAATTCCGTGCTCCCCTCTTCCACTTCGCTCACTTCTCGGACGTTCCGAAAGATGCTCCATGCGATGTCTCTGCACTCTATCATGATGATGCGGATGATGATGCTGATGCTGATGCTGATATTGATGATGCTGATGATGATGGTGATGATGATGATTACGACGACGGTGGTGTTGATGCTGACGATGACGATGACGATGAGGATGGGAACGACGATGGTGGTGTTGAACATGAGAGCGAGGATGCTCGTGATGATGGAGATGCTGTCGACGGCATAGACGACGATGCCATATGATGCCAACGACGATGATAATGGCGACGTCGTTCTTCTTTATGTTGTTGGAGGTGACAGTGATGGCGACGATGACGAGGACGATTGTACTGATGACGATGGAAGTGGTGAGTGTGATGCGGACGATGACCAGGCTGATAATGACAACGATACTGATAATGGTGATGCTGATGAGGATGATGATGCTGATGTTGATTGTGATGGTCAACATCATCAACATCATAATCATCATTACCACCAACATTATCATTATCATGATCATGCGGATGATCACGATGCTGACGATGATGATTATGCTGATGATCACGGATATGATGCTGATGATGAGGATGATGCTGCTGCTGGTGATGATGATGCTGATAATGATGATGATGATGATGCTGCTGCAGCCGATGATGATGATGATGATGATGATGATGATGATGATGATGATGATGATAATGATGATGATGATGATGATGATGATGATGATGATGATGATGATGAGTACTGAACGGTGAAGGGTTTTGGTGATGACGGCCCCTGGGGCGCCCTCCCCAAGGCGCATCGAAAAGACATCCACGAGCGGCAACGCGCAGCGATGATATTAAGCATTGCGACTCCCTACTCCGCAGCCTGCTTCTTGCTCGTGCGGGTGCTCGCACCCAGGGGGTGGGGGGCTGGGGGGGGGAGGGGGTCGGGGCGGCTCCCAGACGAAATAATTATGATGAAGACAGTGCCCGAGACGATGATGATAATGATCATGACGATGACGATGCTGATGATGACGATGACGATGATGACGATGATGAGGATGCTGATGAGGATGGTAATCATGATGACAACGATGATGATGTTGATGATGATCATGCTGATGATGATGGTGATGCTGATCATGATGATGCTGATGATAATGATGATGTTCATGCTGATGATTATGAAGAAAAATGATGACGATGGTGAGAATGATGATTCTGATAATGATGTTGATGATTATGGTGATGATGATGATGATGATGAATGATGATGACTAATATTCTGAATCCATTCGAGGTGGCTGATGGTGGACCTTGAGCGCATGCGTCATGATGCTGGCAACGCAACGCGAGGCCTGCAAGGTGCGCTGGCTCGGTGAGCAAGCGCAGGCGGACGCGGACAAACACAACCGCGTGGGTGGAAAACTTACGCTAGGTTCGTGCGGGGACGCCGCGTCGATACTTCAATCTTGAATCGATCGTGACCCCGATTGTTCAAGGTTGAATCCAATCGGGTCCACTGGCATTACCGTGCACATCGGTGCTTCCGCGTCGCAGAATTCAACATTGAACGCCTTCGCCGTCGACACCGGCGCGCCAACGCCGCACGAACCTACCGTACTGTCCCGGATTCGGGGACATTGCAGATGTGGAGCGGGCTCGACCATTCACAGTAGAGTAGAGCACTGGAGGCCCGTTTCTGGCTGTAGCTGAGAGCTCCAGCCGAGGGCGATTGTTTCGGAGGCGCCTGCGGCCAATAAGAGAAGACGCTCGCGAAAACCGTATCCGTATCCGCGGCCGTGCGGGCCGGGCCCCTGGGACGCGACCTCGCAGATGCGGAGCGCTTCTTCGCGGATGCCCCGAAGCGGAACGTAGCCGTGCGAACGCGTATCCGCGGGATCGCGCCCCGGATTGCAGACTGCGAGGGCGCGGCTATGGACATGTGCGCCGCTCGTGATGGAATCGCCACGCTGCCGGCCAGCAAGTCCACAAATGTCCAGGACATCGCCTGATTTCTCTCCCCGTACTGTGCGGCCGCAGATGGGCGCTGCGCTTGCTCTGTCGGCTTCGGCGAGCTGCGAAGCGGAGATCGCAGGGAGATATCCTTGCACCATCTGGGCCTTCTGCACGGCTTGCTGGAAAATTGGAAATGGTGGAGTGCGCGGGCGCGCGTGTGAAAGTTCGTTGAGCAAGCTGGGCACTTCGTGCCAAGGATGTGTCACCGCGCACCTGGCACGCTTATCCGGCCAAGCGGGAGCGGCTACTTTGCTCGCAGCCAGCGCGACGTCGTCTGGGGCTGCGGAGCCCCATGATGATGGTTATGATGATGTTGGTGGTGGAGATGGTGGTGGTGGAGATGATGTGATGATGATGACGATGATGATGTTGTTGATACTGATGATGATGATGATGATGATGATGATCATGATGATGATGATGATGTTGATGATGTTGATGAAGATCATGGCATGGGCGACAATGATAAGGACGATGTTGATGTGGTTGCTGGTAAAGTTGCCCTTTGCATGGTGCATGATGATGATGTTGGGGATGATGATGTTGGTGATGATAATGCTGATGATGCTGCTGCTGCTGATGATGATGATGATGATGATGGCGATCATGATGATGAAGACGAAAACGATGATTATGATGATGATGATAATGATGCTGATGATGCTAATGATAATGATGATGATGATGATGACGATGCTGATGATGATGATGATGATGCTGATGATGATGATGATGCTGATGAAGCTGCTGAAGATGGGTGATTGGCGATGGTAGTGATGCTGATGATGGTGGGGGTGGTGATGCTGATGGAGGCAATGTCGTTGGTGACGATGATGGTGCTGATTCTGATTGGGGGGGGTCCTTCTGGCAGTCTCCAGACATCGGTGATTTCCCACAAGGCGCTCCACGCGTGGTTTCCACCCCACCGCCCTGTTTGCTGTGGTGGGATGGAGGGAGGTAGGGAGGAGGTGGAGGGAGGTCGGTTACGGAAGGAGGTCGAGGAGGGGGGAGGCAAGAGAGGCATAGGGGTCAGGACTGGGAGGGTGGAGTGCTGGTAGGCAGAGGGAGGAGCGGACGGTAAAGCATCACTCAATGTTCGAAATTGGCCGGGGGCCCAGCATGCTGCCCACGCCAGATCCCACCTGCCGCGCCGGGTCTGCGCGTGGCAGCTCAAGAAGCACATCGGCCCGATCTGTATCTACATCACGCACAAACCTCAACGCTCCGCCATCCGCGAGCGAGGTGAGCCATCCGACTACGAAACCCAACTAGT